CTGGGGTCCATGGCCTGATGAGTTTGACACCCCTGTTCTAGTGGGTGTGCAGTCTTCTGCCCTGTCTCCTCTGCCTGCTCTCTTTCTCATTATGTTTCCAGGTGTTGTGACGAGTGTCCTATCCCAGCAGCTTCTAGTTTCTGGGCTTGCTCTTGGTCTTGTTCTTTCTCCCTTCTGTTTGTCCGACCAGCCCCAATTCCCATTCTCCCCTAACTCCTCGGCTAGTTTTTCTCTCTCCCTGCCCTACTAGCTTCCAGTCCTACACCCTTTCTGCTGGGAGAAGGGAAGCTTCAGCAGGGGAAACTTGTGTTGGAGATCAGGAGGAACTTTTGGACGAGGAGGGCGGTCAAGTGTTGGGACAGGCTTCCTGGAGAAGCTGTGGAATCTGCATCCCTTGAAGTTTTCAAGAGGGGGTTGGACAGGCACTTAACTGGGATGCTTCAGTCAGGGGGTGATCTTGCCTTGAATGAGGAGCTGGACTAGATAACCCTATGGGGCCCCTTTCAGCCCTACTTTCCAATGCTCTTAATAATGCAACTTCAACAGCATTCACTTGCAGTGCACCTTGGCAGTGGCCTGGCTGCCTTGCATGGATCTGTGCCTGGACAGCTTTTAACGTCCCTTTCATATGCTTGTTTGCTGTGCTGAAATGTGACCACTGCTGCTCTCCTCCCCAAGCAGCATGCTCCAAAGCTGATTAACAGGGTTGGGCTTTCTGTCCCCATTCTGAGGAGGCCGGAGTGAAGAAGAGGGGAGGGCAAATCCCAGGCTGTGTATTGAGAGGGGACGGGCTGATATCCCCAGCTGTTGCTCCCATCCACGGAGCATCTGAAAATCTCCAAGGCTTTGTGTCCAGTTGAGCAGGCTGATGTAACAGAGCATCATTTGGACCCCAGCCTTTTAATATACCCCAAGCATGTGGAGAAGATTGCTCCCAGAAGTGTTGAAGGCATTCACGTTGCCATTGGAACCGCCTTCCCAGTGAGCAGCAGCAACCACTGCCAGTGTCATGAGGCTCTCCTCTTCCACTCATGCCCATGGGTGCAGTGCCAGGACAGCCAGCCACCATTCAGCTGTGGTGATGGGACACGTCAGCTAGGATAGGGGCTTGTGTGACATGTAAGGCCAGTTTATGAGACCTTGAGGTACTGAGACTTGAGGGGCTGCAAGCCAAGGGCAGAGCCACTTGCCCAGTGATCCCAGCAGCATGTCGAGAAGGTGCAGGACCAGGATGTAGGACTGCGAGTTGCTGGTAGACTACCCCGCGGTTGCCTCCTGCTACTCCATGCATTCCCACAATGCTCCAGCTCTTCCTGTGAGCAGAACTAAGCAAACGCCCTCGCTTGCACCCCCAGTGCTTGCACTGTGTGACATGGGTAGTGTGAAACTGTGTCTGTGTGTGAGATCAAGTTGGTGGTGCTGCTTTGACTTGACAGGAGGACCCATCAGTCCTGTAACTTAGTAGTTCACGAAGAGGATTATTCCCAGGAGGGGGAGATTTCGGCCCCTCTGCTACATTTTCAGTAACTGACTTGCAGTTACCAGAGGGATCCTGCCTGGTGGTTGGGGAATGCTTTGCAGGTGGCTTGGCTTTGAAGGGTTCTGAGCTTCCCTGGGCAGCTCGAGATTACGACCGACCCCTTCTCCCACAGTCTCTTCCGACTCCCAGGCAACCCTGAGATCCTTCAAGACACTGCTTTTCAGTGCAAGGCATAGACAGGCAGCAAGAGGACAGTGCCACTAACCCCGAGAAACTAGTGCTGTGTGACCTGTCCCTGGAAAGGGTGGCTGACCAGGTGCTGTTCGCAGTGGCTCAGTTGCGCACTGTTCAGTGCTTTGGCCTGGGTGCAGCACAGCGTGTGAGAGAGGAGGGCACGATCTTTGCCGCTGGCTCAGTCCACAGCTCTGTCCAGCTGACCTTTCTGCCAAAACATCTGCTCCCTGCCTCTGTGCGCCCAGAGAAGCTTCTGTCCCCTACGGAGTTTAGAAAATATGACGGTGGTAAGATAGGAAGACCAAGGATGTTGTTTTCAATGTGCCAACATTGGCTCCCCCAGTGCAAGAAGTGCCTGGCCCATTTGACAGACTCCAGTGCCGTGCTGTGCTGAGTGTAGCTCTGAAGTGAGATGGCTGGGAGACGGAGACTCTGCTTTTGCCCTGCCACTCATCTACTTTGCCACCTTAAGCATTCGCTTCCTCTTTCTTTGTTTGTCTGGTCTTCTCTGGCCTGTGATTTCTTCAAGATGGGGATGCTCTCGGCTGACGTGCCTGCGCGAGGCCTAGGAAATGGGGCCTCGTTTGCGTAGAGGCAGCCGTGCTAGTGCCGTGTATGCTTGCAGCCCTGTCCTGGCCCTGACGCTTGGTGGCTGGGGTGAGGGCGCTGAACTGGGAGGGTGTGTGGTGTCTCGCAGGACTTGCCCTCCCCGTGTAAGAGAGGAACGTGCCAAGGATGCGTTGGGCCTGAGCCATTGTTTGGAGCTTCACCCCGACTGTCCAAATGCTTTGAAAGTGCTTGAGAAACCAAACTGAACAGAGCAAGCGTTTCTGTCTCCTGATCTCTATTGGTGTTTGCAGGGTATGCAGATGAATTGCTTTAGAAAAACACATTAGCAAAGCAAAAGTTTATTCTAGGAAGTAGGAGGTGGGAGAATTGGCAGTAATTCTCCCTAGTATCCAAGGTATTATTAGAGGCTTATCCCTGCTCTGCACAGTAATCACATTGGAAATTTTTGATTAGAAAACAAAATCTAAATGAGAAGTATGAATATTCATTAGGTGTGGAGATTAATATGCATAATTATGCAAATTAGACAGCAATTAAACACCAATTCTCTGGGGAAATGATTAACACAAAGGCACAGAAATAGAAGGATGTAATTTGAAAGAAGTTTCTGGTTAAATGAACAGTAAGGGGAGCGGAGGAGACAAATATATGGCGTGTTTGCCATAATAATAAGCTTTGCTAAAATGAAATTGGTGTGAGCTCTGAACCTCTTAAAGCCCCCTACCTCTCTTCCTCATACACATGCCTTGTTTTCTCTAATCTGTTTTTATGGTCATTCTCACTGAAGGGTATAAAGTTACCTCTTAGTAAAAAGAAATAATGCGTAAGGCCATATAGACATGTTTGTAGCTGGCTTGTAACTTGTATTGTAAGAGGAGAGGGCACCTGCATCCAGGAAGTCTTACCTGGAGCCTAACTGAACAAAAGCTACTAGCCTTCCTGTAACCTGGCTGGCTGGGGTGTTGAGGTCTTGGGTAACATTTAGTTCTTCCTGTTCAAACTGTGCAGTACAGTACATCTCTCAGCATTCAAAGCAACATGCACTTAAAGCAAAAGTTAGAAGGCAAGGGATGGTATCATGTTCAGAAAATATCCAGTCCTACTCCAGTAAAAGCATTCTCACCTACCCTGTAAGTTTAAGTGCATGTCTGCCGTGGACTACGGAGCTGCTGTTTATTGTGAAGTGTTTGCTGCAGTCTCCTGTGTTGCTGTCCTTCTCAGACTGATGCATATGCTGCAGCTTTGAAGTGTGAGAAGGTAAAAAAACATTGGGTGTTTTTGGTTTTTTGGGGTTTTTTTTCAGTTGTGGAAGGGGCTAGGAAGGGAGTGTATTCTCAGCCACTTTAGATGAATGTACATCTTTAACGACAAGATTTTTTGAAGCGGGAGCACAGATCAAATGCAAGGTTTGAAACTGTAAAATTGGAGTTAATGAGTGAATATGAGAATCTTAAAAAGCCAGTGATTTATAGAAAAACATTGCCATCTGCATGTACTGGCTGCTGGGGTGGTGCAACTGTTCCAGAGTGTGTATTTGTTGGAAATGTAATGTAATATATATAAAATAAAAATAGATAACCGCGTTCATAAACAGCAACAATGTGATTGCTAAACAGTTCCAGGAGCAGCCGCAGTGGCTTTCTTATGCTGCCCTGCTGTGAGTGGAGTGATACAGGCAATATTTAAACCTAGTGTGAACAACTAGACTGGAATTTCCTTGGAAATTAAGAAAATGTAGTAGCCCACCTTGTGGAGTCTGTGGGACTTGTGCACCTAAATCTCCTGGGTACTTTTGAAAGTCACCCTCTGAGCAACCAATTCCCATTGAAATTCAGTGGGATTACGGACAGTTAAATTTCAGAGCTCCAGTTTTCATAGGGGGCTATTTGCTGAACTTTTATGGCAAATCCAGAATGTATTCTGCCTGTTTAAAACATGGGTGCAAATCTTTGGACCAAAGCAACGCTGTTTTGTTTTCCTTGATCTGTCTGAGCTCCCAAGTCCTGGCATTACCTGTTTCGTCTTACAATTTAAGAGTAACTCGCCAAATCTCCTCCTCCCGTTCAAGGAAGCATAAATAAATATGATCTCTGTTTTAAATGAAAGGTGGCTTGTGTCTTGTGGTTCCTTTGTGGCATTCCTGGGTTCACAGACATCCCTCTCTTTGCAGCATAATTCCTTAGGTATGAGCCTTGAATCCAATCTGGCATCACCCATCGTATATATTAACCCAGTCCATCACAAGGCCTGCATGGCGGTACAAGGTTTAGGCCTTATCCATATAGGGAAGAGTTTTATCATTAACCTCCATGTGATTTAAATACAGTAGTTAGACTGGAAAGTTCCTCTGTGTGGACACACTTAATCCGGTACAAGGGAGCTTTATATGTCCCTTGAGAGAGTGTTTAAGCAAAGTCAGATCCCACTGTCCCATGCTAACATACTGTCCACACAAGGCTGTCCTCCTATAAATGTCTCTGTTTAGAGAAGAAAGTAGTTTGACATCCATACTTACCAATAAGTATTTGCTTTGAAGTTCTCCAAATAATCCGTCAGCTGAAATGGAGAAGGGGGAGGACTGGCTGCGCTGAGTGGAAATGGTTTATTAATGAAAATATTGTTTTGTTTGTAGAAGGAAGAGTTAATTTTGCAAGGACACCTTTGAGGGTTTGCTGATAAAGCAAAAGTAACCTTTGTTCTTCCTGTTTTTCGGTAGGTTTGGATGAAAGACCGGGATCAGGTTCCTGGGGAACGGGAGATCAAAACAGCTCCACGTTTGACCAAGGAAGGGTAAGGACGAAGTATAAACAGTGACCTCAAACAAAAATAAACAGGGTCTGCATGATGGTGTTATTTGTGCCCCAGTCAGTTTTAACCCTGAAAACCCATTTTTGTCACATTTTAGAATCACGGGTGTCAAACGCATTGGGCCCTGTGGGCTGGATGAGTGGCATTGGGCTGGTCTTCAGATTGGATTGGGCCTGCAGGCTGACCTTGCACAGTGCCATGGGCAGCTGGCAGCATGTGCGTAGGACCAACCCCACCTTCCCTGTGCAGTATGCAGGGTGGTCTGGAGCGTGGGTACAATCCAAGACCCCTGGGCAGCACTGGAGGACAGATTATAGGGCTCCATCCGGCCCATGGGCCATGTCATTGACACTCCTGCTTTTAGGTGGAGTTTCTGTGCTCCCTTCACCCCTCAATTGAATTCCACAGTGATACTAGATGAACATCTGCTTGTTTCTCTCCGATACGGTTGTTGATCTTGTCATAAGGTCCTGCCAGGGAGATGTTTTTAGCAGCCACCTTGCAAGCCTGTAGGCTGCACCTGTCAGTGCTGCCTTTACTTGTCTAGGCAATTTGCCCTCTATTCCATGCTTGGGCTTGTGTTCAGTCTGAAGCGCGCCAGAGTGCTTTGTGGCAGGCAGTGAGGCGTCGGGGCGTGCAGAACTGAAGCAGCAGTGAGGCTCGGAGTCAGGCAGTGCTAGCTGGGTCTGTCTAGTGAGGTTCGCCATTCGCATCACTCAGTGCTACTCGCCTCCCATATCTCCTCTGACCTCCTAATGATAAAGACTAAACGTGGACCCTAAGTCTTGCACAAGCAGCAGCCAGGCTTAGAGCTCGATTGGGCTAGACAGCAAACCAGACCACCGCTGGTCTTTAGAGCTGTGGAACAGCTGGGCATGTGAGCAGACTTGGGTCGTTAGGTGTGGAGGATACCTCCACGAGACAGCTCCTCGTGGTGCATGTTGAACATCTCGCATAGCCCAGCTCTTTGACTCTCATGATGACTGTTCCTCATCGCTGAGAGGCTGGAGGTGCCTGTATGATAGCTGGCTCTCAGGGGTTCGGCGCATCAGGCTGACATAAAGCTGGCACGGAGGGAGTGGAAAGCAGCTGGGGGAAGGAGGAAGAGAACTGGAAGTGTTCTTGAAGGGAAGGAATTGAGGCTGTGACAGCACATAACTGGGGCCTGAGGAGGGGAAGAGAGAAAAGACATTAACTTAATTGAAATGGTGTTTTTTGACAGATGCTCATGTTTTAATGGGTTTATATGTTTCATTTGCACAATGGCACCATTCCCTTCCCTTAGGTCAGTGATGAAACAGGCGCTGCATCATTTCTCATTTTTATAGGCTGCTTCTCTTCCTGCTCCCCTCCCCTCCCCTCATCCCACGCTCCTGATTTTTGGGATGGGGTGAATTGCATGGCCAGTTGCTACAGGAGACATGCCCAGTTGCTACAGGAGACATGCCTCAGTGAAGATTGCCAAGTGCCAGGCTACTCCAGGACAGGCATAAATCTGGGTGACAGCTTTCCATATGGAAGAGTGTGTGCTGCTCCTTTGGTTTTGTGCCATTTTTCCCCACCAAGAGACCCCGTCCCTTGGAGAAATCTGGTCACCGTGCAGCAGGACTATCCTGCTGTCCCTATGAGTGGGAAGTGTAAGTAGTAGGATTGGACAGCCTGTTGTATTCATGTCCTGCCTCTTGAGAAATCAGTGTCTGGGGCCAGGTATAAGCCTGACTGACTTGAGAGTTAGCGGACCTTTGTTAAAATAAAATATAGCCATCTGCTTCCTCGGGTCAGAGATTGTGGTTCCGTGTCTTGATCTTAATCCCAGGATCTAACCTGGCCATTTCCTGTGCAGTAGCAGACCAGATGCCTGTGCATGCGCACACACCACAAATGGTGCTTTTTGTAATTGAGGGAGCAGCAGCTTGAAATTCAGACCCCAGTATTGTCTTGGTCCCTTCTTTCAAGTTAAACCAAATATATATTTTTAAAAACAAAAAAGGGGAGGGTGGGGGGGTCAAGTTGCACTTTTTGTCATCGTCTTGTTAATGGGGTAGTTTTCTCTTATCTCTTCTGCCTCAGAAGAGCAACACTAATCCAGTCTATATTCTTACAACAGAAGTTCTCTGGCAATTTTTTTGTGTTAATGTCTTTCAACT